AGGCCAAAATCACACAGGAAAAAGTAAACAAATATAAAAACCAAACCCCTACAAAACAAACGAAAACCCCCAAAGCCCTACCTTTTATCAATAAAAGCACGGCCAAATTTAACATAGGTTATTATTTTCCCTTGGTAATACGATCAGCTATAAAATATTTAACAAATATACACTGAGGCATGGGAAGAACCTAATGTATTTTCCTCTGGTTGGTTGTGAGTGTCCTTTTAGATTGAAGATGGGAGTGCAATTTGTGTTGGTAGCAGCCTCGTGTCTGCCCTCGTGGCACTCTCTGAAACCTATTCCACTGGGTTCAGCAATATTTCTGCTGTAGTATTTTTCTCCAGCTCACAGGGCTGGTTCATTGGCTAGAGATAATGGAGCAATATCATTTCAGTGCATGTTAAAACCTCCACAGAATATTGGGGAAAGTAAGTTCTTTTATTATTACCCTCTTGGCAATCAAGGAAAGGAGAGTAAGTGGCTGTATGTAAGGAGCTTGTTTTGCAGTAAGCTAAAATAAACACTTGACATGCTAATGAAAGCAATCTTATACCAAACCACTAAAGTATTAATGGTGTCTGTTATTATGCTATTAGATACATTGTTCTCTGCCTCCAGACTGTTGGTAGAGAAAAGTGTGAACTGCACAGCAGATTCTTATGTCGGTAGTTTTCATAGATTTTCACTGCAGAGGTATTGTCTGTGAAAATGGATAGATTAGGAAACCTCTTTTACTTACTTTCCCTGCAGTATTTCAGGTTTGACATGTGCAAACATGCCAAATAATTTTCTTCTTTTTTGTTCTTTTTTATTTTTGCTCCTGCTGCTTTCCTGCATCCTGGGAGGGTAAAAGCAGCCAGGAATAATTTTGCCTTTCCCTCAGTCAGGTGCATTCATTGATTGAGTGATTGTAAAGTTTCAGGTGAACAAAATATGTTTGGTACTAAACAAAACATATGCATGTCTTAACTTCAGTAGCTTTATAACACAATCTTCAAGTGGTTACATAGACACAATGGCAGTACTTGTCACAACACAGCAGCCATGAGCTGGCACAAATGCCACAGTCACCTGTTCTCATCCTACTTATTGTCATCAAGCAAAGGCAAACCATTCATACAAAAGCCTAACAAAACAAAAATTTTAGATGCTCCTTGTTTCTCTTACCTACCTCCCCACGTGTCCTCCCAGATGTAGTGAACAGCATGGTGTATGCATTAGGGAGAAGCAAAACTCTTGGCCCTTTCCTTCTTGATGGGATTTCTCAGATATAAAGCAGAGCCTGCCAAAGAGCTTCCCCATCCATTCCTTGGTCTGTGTGGGACCAATATTGTATCAAAGATGAGTAACACGTCTAGTAATGGCAGCACAAATGCCTGCTTTTTCTCTTCCTTCAGCAGAAAAATAATCAATCCGTGCAGCAAAAGCCATTTCCCTGCCCTCCTTCAAGGGATGTGGAAAGAGAACTGGAGCTCTGGAAGTGTCTTACTCCAGCTTCTCTCCTAAGCTGTTCCTCAGATCAATGACAGATTCTTCCTGATAGATTGATAGGCTGTTGGTCTCCCAGGATCACTGTGGAAGGAGCAGGTCTGTTGGAGTTATTTGACCAGGACGAACTTTGTCTGCTTTCCATTCACTTGGTGGGAAGGAGAACAGGTTGATGAATAAGCCAAACCACCAAGTTCAAAATGAACACAAATCACTTTTAACAGAGTTGATAGTGTTGGTTCCTTTGCTTGATGGGGTCATCACAATTTGGCCTCTTGGCTTTTAAAGGTAACATCACGTGTCTGAATGTTGTGTCAGAAATCCAGTCTCACCAGCTGGCACCTGCCTGACTTGGTGGATGCTCTGTCCATGAGAGATGTCAGTCCGTGATTGGAGTACACAGCAGAAATGAGGCAAAACAAAACTGCCTCTTATCTCAACAACTCATTGTTCCAGCAGGTCATGGCCATTCAGTAGGATTCTCACCAAGAGGGAGACACCCTGCCTCGTCATCCCTTCTCCCAAAAAAGGTTTTGTGAAATGGCAAAAAGCTCATAGTCTTAGGAGCAGAAAATAAACCTCTGTTTATGGCTTAATCCTCGAATTGTGAGATTAACATAAGGCTTCCCCTTCCTGCTTCTCCTTTATTTGCCATGAATTTTGCAGCTGTGCTGCTCACTCTTTGGCTTCATGGAGAGGGCTCTAGTGTGTGCACCCTCCACAGTCCATGGCTCTTGGCTTGTGCTACATCCCTCCAACTGGGCTCAATCCTCTCTGGAGCTGCTCTTTCTTGCCATTACACAGAGATATTCTAAGCACCTCTTCTACAAATCTTCTAGCACTGTGCAGGCCTGATTGTCTCTCTCTTTAAGGTATGAATTAATATTATGTTCTGGAGTTTATAGCAAGGGGTTCTTTTATCCCTTGATAAATTGTAGCTATATTCGTACTTTGCATCCCTGGGGCAGTCATATTCTTCAGTAAATTTCTGCTCCAATCATAATCTACTAAAAATGAACATCGAGGCACATAATTATACTTCAAAAAACACAGTCCTTTATTCAGCCTTAAAAGTGTTGCCTTTTTATTAAG